AGGGTATATGCACATCTTTACCACCCCTGCAACATCTGTACTGCAGCATACCACTTAGGTCATGGCATAAATGTCATCACATGGTGGTGCATTTCAGATCAGCTGAACTCTGTAGGCTCTAATGAATCTGAGCCTCCAGATTTTTGTATTTGTCACCTTTAGCTCTAATGTTGGTAGACATTGTTCTGGGAGCTATGACAGTGCCAAGATATAAAAAAGACTAGGTAAGTGAAGTGATAGCTTTGATTGGACCAACAGAAGTTGGTGAGATACGCTTGTGAGCTATTGAGGAAGAGGAAGAGTTCTGTGTAGCTTGAAAGCTTGTCTCACTGACAGAAGTTGGTCCAATAAAAAAATACCACCTCCCCAATTTTTTGCTTTAGATCTAAGGCAGGCAGGAAAGACTACATAAAGAGCATGTCAAGTATTTGTACCCAGCAGGATGCACAGCTTCTACTAGCAGGTCAGGCTCTTGTACCAAATATGGACTTGCTGTAGAGCTTCAACCCCAGACAGACACGAGAGATGTTACTCATGATGCCACCTACTGGCTGAATAGTGTTGCCTGATCTTTTGATTATGTATGAATTCTACAGAGCAGTGGTTCCCAACCTTTTTTATACCACAGACCGGCAAACCCATTCACAAACTTTTGGTGGACTAGTAACATTTGTTTGCATGTTCATTATGCAAATAAAATGATACCAACCCTCCAAAAGCCTGGTGCCCAGAGCCCCCCAGTGCCAGCCCTAATCCCTAGAGACCCCAGTCCTCTATCAACCCCCAATGCCAGCCACTGACCCCAGAGTCCCCTGCACCCAACCCTGTGCCAGCCTCCCGCCCTCCTCTCTCCCCTAGTACCAGTCCCCTATCTCAAATACTTCAGTGCCAGCCCCTCACCCCATAGAGCCCCTCCCACCAAACCCCCAGTGCCAGCCTCCTGTTTCAAGCCCCACTGCACCCAGCCCCCCAGAGCCCACCAGTTCCAGCGCCCTGCCTCTTAGAGCCCCCAACACTAGTCCGCCCCCAGTACCTGCTGAATCCCCTTCACCTAGTCCTGCAGTGCCTCCCAGCTGCCAGCTGAGCTCTGCTGCCCGGGTTATGGCTTCTCTAAGGCTGCTGTGCCAGTTGATTATTTTATCAAATCCAGTGAGTTTTAAATTGAAGTGTCTGTGGAACTCCATTTGGGATGACAGGATGTGTGCATAGTATTCCTTTTAAAGACATAAACTTAATATAACATTTATTGTCCAGGAAAGGAATGGGCAATATAGGACATTCATTTCTGGAGGGAAACCTAAGACTGGGGGGGAGGTGTTGGGGGCACTCTGCAGTACACCCTGTTCACCCTCTCTACAGATAGAGGGGTAGCTGAGCCAGATGGCAGTGCCAATGGGTGTTGTGTGAAGTTCTTTCTTATGTTTGTTTTAAATCTGCTGCATAGTAATTTCATTGGGTAACTATTTGCTCCTGTATTTATGTGAAGAAATAATAACACTTTCTTATTCACTTTCTCGTCGTCATGCATAATTTTATTAGATCTCTATCGTATCACATGATATTTTGTCGTCTTAGGTATCCCTTTCTTATTGGTTCCTAGCATTGTTAGCTTTATTGACTGCTGCTGCACATCGAGCAGATGTTTTCAAAAACTTTTCCACAAAGATTCCAAGATATCTTTCTTGAGTGGTAACAGTTAATTTTAGAAGACCCTATCATTTTATGTGTATAGCTGGGTTTATATTTTCCAGTTTGCATTACTGTGCATTTATCAAAATTGATTTGAAATGTAACTCCCATTCTCCTTGGAAACAAGCCTTAAATATGAAATGCAAATATCTAGCTAGAGTTAAGATAAGCAACACAGTTTATTTCAAGCCAAACATTTAAATTTACTCTTAATTTTTCTTTACCTGGGTCTCTAGCTTCTCCATCAAAGACAGTGTTTATCTTGGTCATTTCCTATGAAGAGATACACAATGTGAAATCAAGCCTGTGAAATAATTAAACAAGGAGGAGCAGTCACTTGGAAATTTTTTACCTACAGGGATTGAAGTAAATTTATATGACCTGCATGTTGCTTTAGGGTGAGTTTAATCAGAACTGTTTAAAAAAAAAAAAAGCCATTTTGGCATAGGGTATTGCTACCAAATGTTCAAAGGAGAATTAATGGGGTCTGACATGCTAAATGGCTCTAAATGTGCAGTCACAAAAGAGTCATCTCCAGTAGGGAAGGAGTTTAGGACTTCCCTATAAAAAAACTTGATATTATTTTCTTACTACCAATCCCTTTCTGATGATCTATCCCATGGAATGGGACCATGATATTGAAAGACATTTAACAAACTTTAAGCCTTTATCATTTTTAAAAAGAAAGGGACCTTGACTACTTTGAGTTTAGAAGTAAACAAGCCTCTATTATGCCGGAATTAATCATGTCATTTTACTGCATCAGAATGATCAAAACTAAAAGATTTAGAGGCTGATTCTCCTCTCAGTTACACTGCTGCTGGTCAAGAGTAATACTGTTGAAGTCAATGAAGTTACACCATGTAAAATTGGTTTGAGTGGAGAAATAGGGCGCTGCTTCTGCTTGGCCTTCAAATAGTCTCTTTTATGACCCCCTGACTCTTTGGTCTGATGTAGGGGGGAATGGGAAATTTAGTCAGTGTGCAGAGGTGAATGGGGACATGATGCACCTGAACAACACCTCCCATAAGGCACTGTATTGGAATTTCTGAATAGAAAATGTTCAGGTTTTGGCTGAAAACATTTTGGTGTATGGGTGTTTGGCTTTATGATGAAAAATCAAAACATATCACAGAAAGCAAACAGTGTTCATGAAAAAATTTGCTGAGTTGAAAATCGAATATTCCATTCTAAAACAGCTTTGATAGAAAAATGTTGACCAGCCCTAATGCCAGCCTTGTGTGGTCTGAACAGCTCATGATTCCTTATTTTCAATGCCGGCTTTCTCAGCATTTGATATCAGACGCTGGGCCAGGTTTAGGAAAGAGTTTTTCCAGTGTTACTAAATAAGAATCCTGACTTGGTTCACCTCATCTCCATCTCCTCATTCACTCCCTCTATAAATTGCACTTCTTCAGAACTGTCTTTCACCATAGTCCTCTCCACAGGTCGGAGGGAAACAAGCTAGACAGTTGAAAGCCTTACCCTAAAGGCCCACAATGAAATGATGGGCCTAACAAGTCCTGGTAAGTGTCACTATTCAGTCACACTGCTTCATGCTGCATCCTGTTACACTCATAGTATTTTATGTGTCTGTCTGAAATGTAAATAGGTTCAGACAGGGATCTGGGCAATATGCCACTGAACTCAATGGAAGTTTTGTCATTGACATTAATTAAGCCTGGATTTCGCCCCTTGTCAGTAAAACACTGTTGTTGGATAAGGAGCTTCATGGTTAGTAGATGGGGCACCAGGCTGGGAGTCAGGACCTGGATCCTATAACAATCTCTGCCACTTATCTACTGGGTGACCTTGGGCAAATCACTTCTCTCTGTTTCCCTTCCTACTTATTGCCTGTCTTGTCTCTTTATGGAGGGGTTTTCACTTGTATATATGTATAGGACTTAGCACAGCAGGGCATCAGACTGAGTTGGAATACCTGAGTATTACTGTTATGTGAAAAATAAACCCACCGTCTTCGTTTAGATCAGATTCTCATTGCCTCATAATGTCTAATGGGACCAGGTTCTAACCTGGGGTTATTGATCCACTTAGTAAAATTCCCATTAGTATTTCTAGTGATGGCTTCCAATCTTCTTTACATACCTATGAAAAAAACTCTCTCAGATCTATCTAAATTAAAAAATAACACCATTTGATATTTGAGATAATGGGTTTGTACAGTTACATAGGAAACATGTTGAGCATTAGAAACAAACTATGCCAAGAATTCCAACTTGCAATCCCTCTCATTGGTCTAATCCAAAAGTTCCACAGGTTACATGACCATGCTGCAGAATTGGTTTGGGCCAAACACTTGCTTTAGTTTGTGATTTAGAGTACTCACCAGAACCACTTCTTTCTTAACTTTCTTCTTTTCTGCTGAAAAGAAAATGCATATTCTAAGGAATCAGATTTTTCTGATGTAAAAAGTATACATTTGTAAGCAGGGTCTGGTAGAATGCTTCCCTACAGCTAGCTGGGAGGAGGAGAGACTTTCCATGTGATTGTGTAAATATACTTTGTTCCTTCTCTGCTTAGACAAAGTGATCGACTTTGGCTGGTGTTAGGTTGCAAATCACTGTAGTATTGTATGAAGGGGTAGTGAAATATGGTTACCAATGTTGTAATTATTATAGGGAAGTAGGACTGTGCTTAATCTCTCCCAAATGAGGGAGACACCCTCAGTTGAAAAAACTTCATTAAACCAGGGGCTTGAATGCCAGGGCCCTGTGAAAGTAAGAGGGGTGGAGACACGTCCCAGGCAGGAGGTTTCAAACACTTCCCAAGGATTCTACCAGGACTGGTTTGACCTGTTTACTCCTTCCCCTACACTGTTCAAAATAAGAGCTAACTAGGCTTTATTAGGAGCCTCTTTGTTATGTTAAATGTTCAATCAGAGCTGAAATCAATAGGGGCAGGACTGTGTCTTCTGCACTGCCTGCCCAGTGCTGGAAACCACTGAAGCTAATATTTCAGATGGGGCATTGTTTATGCCCAGCCTGTAAAGAGTTTAAAATTACTAAGATTGATGTGTAGAGGTCGCAGCAGAGAGGTAGGTGGCAGGAGAAGGCTATTGACAGCCAGCTGATGAACAAAAGTGGCTAGTGAGGTGGAGAGGTGTAGTGAATGGCCAGCAGGGCAGCTGATGGAGAGGCATGGCAAGAGCAATGAGCAGGCAGCCAGCAGGTTGATGTTGGAGAAGCATGATGAGCAGCCAGCAGGGTAGCTGGTGTAAAAATGCAGCAAGAGCAGTGAGCAGGTGTCTAGTGCGAGCAGCCATCAGGGTGGCTTGGCAGAGAGGGGTGGTGAGTGCCTGAGCAGCAGCGTGAGTAGGTGTTAATTTGGGAAAATAAACTAAGTTTCTTCCCTCCTTTTCATTAAATGTTTTGTTTCTATACTCAGACTCTATGCTCTCAAAGGTGCCCAGGGGTATAAATTTCCCAAGTTACTGGATGGGGGCTTAAGCCAGTTCTGTGTTCTATCGATGAAAAGGAACCACTAGACCATGAACTTGGCCCTGGTTGCTGCAGGCTCCATCTGGCAGCAGGGTTACACATTACAGTCAAGATTTTCAAGAGTGACTAGTAAGTTTGGGTGTCCAACTTTTGAAATGCCTTTCACAGGACTAGTTTTCAGAGCTTTTTAAAAATTAGACCCCCTTCAGCTGTTTCAAGTTGGGCATCCAAATTTGCTAATCACACTTTCCAGTCTTGTCCTAGAAGTAGAGGTGAATAGTTTGCCACAAATTAAATTCCTCAGTGGATTTTACTTTACATTGATTGAAAAGATTTAGAAATTCACATGTATTCTTTATTCAAAACTATTTAAACTTTTAATCCTTGGCCTGAATCTCATTCAGTTTTGGAATTTTACATCTGAAATTTGTTTTGGGAATGTGCAGCCAGCCCTTGCACTAGCCCTCTACAGGAGAGTAAATTTTATTTTGAGGCTACATCTTCACTGCAGCCTTTGTCGGCCAAGACAATGCAAATGAAGCGCTCATTAGCATTTCTCGCACTCTCATTTGCATAGTCTCTTCCGAACCATTTTGCGGAAGAGGTTTTGGCACAAAACACCACGGGGTAGACAGGGCCATTTTGTTTAAAAAAAAAAAAACCCTTTTGCGCAAGAACCCTTATTCCTCAAAAAAGCAGGTATACAGGCTCTTGCGCAAAAGGGTTTTTTGCCCCATCCACACTGTGGGGGGTTTTGCACAAAAATCTCTTCTGCAAAATGGATCAGAAGAGACTATGCAAATGAGAGTGCAAGAAATGCTAATGAGTGCTTCATTTGCATTGCCTCTGCCGACAAAGGCTGCATTGTAGACGTAGCCTTAGAGAATATTTGAACAAATTGTAGCTTTCATAAGTATTTGTATTTGTAAAACTTGTGAACTTGCAAGTTCATGGAAATCAAACTGGAAAGTGTTGTAAACCCAATTTAGCAAAATTCTATTTTGGAAGCGAGTTTGATATTTTCAGTCCTAATAGAGATGTAGCTTACTAAGTGGTGTGCTTGTTCTTAAGTAGTGAAAGCATAAAAAAGGTACATACCTGGTGTGTTCATCCTGTAATAAAAATACAAAGTTATCAATATAGTTAATATATGAAATACCATTGCCTACAAAAAAATCATGTTATAGTCCTAGCCCTAACAAATCTGTTCTTTTTCATTTGGCAAACAGGATATTTCCTTTGAGCTTTTGTGGTTTGTTTAGTTTGGGCATGTTTGTTTTGCTGCACCTCAGCATTATTAACTACTGCAACTGAGCTACCAGAAGCAATAAAACAGCCTTGAATATAGTTGTTGCGGCTCCCAAAAGAATGGCTATATATTTTTTAATCTTATCAGTAACAACATGGTGGAGTTATGCTATCCCCCAAAATTACACTTTAAAAATTTTTACGCTCCCCATCCAATTCTAGGGCTGAAATTAATACCTTTTAAAACGTTTGAAAGGTTTAAAATGTGACTTGAAAATATCAGGATTGCTTTTTAACATGAGGTCATAAGTCTCGATGACTCATTGGCGCCAGTTAATAGCTAGATTATATGCCACCATATCCATTTGTCATTTCTACCACAAATTGCTCTTTGCACACCCCTCTAGAATAATAACAATAACCTACAGTACACTAGTTCTCTCTCGTTCTGAAAGATCTTGACACAACTGGCTATGATCTTTCTGATGGTGACAATAGTTGTTTTTTCTGCTAGTGATGTTCAGTTAAAGCATTTGACTAACTTATCAGTAACTCCACCAAGAGTTTCTATGTCATTTTGATTTTACTATAGTCCCTTTAAGGTAGCGGTTTTCAAAGAGTGTGTCTAGACAAGGGCGCTATTTTGGGATACTTCCGATATCCCAAAATAGCTATTCTGCGTCTTTTAAACAAGTCCATTATTTTGAAATAGCTTTCAAAATAACGGGCTCACTATTCAGATGTTCTTATAAACTTCGTTCCACAAGGATTAAGGGACATTTTGGAATAGCTCTCTAATTCAAAATACTCTTGAAACAAGCTATGCAATTTTCATAGCTCAAATTGCGTAGCTTATTTCGAGCTCCGGGTACAGTGTAGACATACCTAAAGTGTGGCCCATGGACCCATCTTTCAGGTGTGCCACAAGCTTGGGACTTATCCCCCTGTGCAGCAGGGAGCCTACACTGGCACTCCAGCTCACCCCCACCATGACCTTACACACCCTTCCCACTCCGGCATGCTTCCTCCCTTCCAGTCCACTGACCCTTAGTCCGCTCATGTACCCAACCTCCCAGCCAGACTCAGCCCCACCCCACTCCTGCACCCTCCCTCCTACTCAGACTCCCACACACTCAGCCCGCTCCTGCATTCACCCTCACTCCCAACCCCACCCCCCGCGCGCACACTCAACCCTCTCCTGCACTCATTTTGTCATTGTGTCGTTGGCTGGTGGTCCACAGAAAGGTGTGTTGAGTGGGGTGGGCTGTGGACTAAGAAGTTTGAGATCCACTACTTTAAGGAATCCTATTCCAACAATTACTAACATTTATTACTGCAAATATCATATTGCACTGAAATTTTTAAAGTATAATTTCATTAACTCTCCGAGCTTCACATTGTATGAGTAGCAGTCATTTTTCAATAAGTCACAAGTTTTCTTGAGAGAGAGTGTGAGTTTTTAATGGGTTTTTTATTACTTACAGTGGTCTTTTATCTGCTTTGGGTTTTGATGGACAGTAAGTACGGATATATTTTGCCAGCAGGAAGGTGAGGTATCCAAGCAGTCCAAGCAGTAGCATGCTACCAATAGAAATGATGAATGGCACATACCAAGCTGAGTCAGAATAAACATTTTCTGTTCTGATGAGAAGTGTAATGGCAGGCTTTGAAAATAAAATAAAATAAAATAGAAAAGGTGATTAAATGCTGTAAACTCTACACGTCGTTGACACCTAGTGTAGAAAGCATGTCCCTGATTGTGTCCCTGTGGTTTATTTAAAAGATGTGTGCTGTGATTGTGTTTGAAAACTTTGGACTGCCTTAGGGCAGTGGTCTCCAACCTTTTTATGCCCCAGATCGCTTTTTGAATTTAAGGACAACCCAGGATCCCTTTCTCCCAAAGCCCTGCCCACACCACCATCCTCCATTGCTCACTCTCCTCCACCCTCACTCATTTTCATCTGGCTGGGGCAAGGGGTTGGGGTTCAGGAAGGGGCTCCAGGCTGAGGCAAAGTGTTAGGCTGCAGGAATGAAGAGTACAAGCTCTGGGAGGGAGTTTGCCTCCAGCCTTGAACTCTCTCCTGCACCCAGACTCCCTCTCAAAGCTTGCACCACTCACTGCTGCACCTCATTGCTCTGGGTGTAGCAGGGGGCTCTTGGCTGGGGCAAAGCATTGGGTGCAGGAGAGAGTGAATGATGGGGGTGCTGGGAGGGAGTCTGGGTGCAGGCTCAGGGCTGGTGCAGGAGATAGGGATGCAGGCTAGGTCTGGGAGGTGTTTACCACAGGTGGCTCCAAGTTGGCAGCACAGTGGGGCTCAGGTAGGCTCTCTATGGCTGGCCCTATACCACTCCTGGAAATGGCTGGCTGGCTGAGTGCAGGCACATTTTGTGTTCTGTCCCTGGAAGAAGGCATCTCCATGTGCATGCCTGCATGGTTCCCAGCCAATGGAAGCTGCCTGGTTTGCTGCTGAGGGCAAGGGACTGCAGAGACATGCCAGCACTCAGCCAGCCAGCTGCTTCCAAGAGACAGCCTACCTGAGGATCATGATCAACTGGCAGAGGCTTCAGGATCTACCAGTTTGTTTGTTTGTTTATTATTTATTTAAAATATTTTTACTTTGCCTTTTAAATATTTAAAATATTCGAGGCAGCTTACAAAATGTTTTAAAACACAATAAATAAGATTCTACCTCACTATCTTATTATATGAAAATACAGGAAATAATACCCAGTGTTGAGGTAATAGTCTCTGGTTATCTAAGGCAAAACTGACAAGCACCGTCATTGTATGCAGTTCAGTGCCAATGTAATAATAATGCCGTTCCCTTTATAAAAACAAGTTGACCCTAGAGGAAGCAGGAACATTGCATAAAAGTAAGTGACACTTCAAATTCTCATGTGACATTCCTTGGCTTTAGAAATGAGTCTGAATCACAAAGTTCTGAGCAGTATCTGCTCTCCCCAAATGAGAGGTATTCAGAGACCGTTTTGATTGGGCCCATTGTTAAGGAGTTAACAGCTCCACAGTCAAGGTTGTATTTTGAAATGCATTCAATCTTTATTTAACAAAAAATATTTTCCTCTACTGCTTTCTGTGTGAAATTTCACACAATATTCATTTTCATCGCCTTTATGGAAAATTCAAAGTTTTTATTTATTTTAATTGGTCTCTGCGCTAATTTCATCAGGTTTTCTGGCTATTCCTTGCTGACTGATAACAATCAAATAATGTTGAGTAACCACACAAAAATTGGGAGATACGTGAATCTTGAGTAGATCTGGTGCAGGGTGAAGAGTAATTGGAAGAAAATATTAAAGGTAACCTTGTCTCATTATTCTTCATCACAAAGCTTATCAGCCAGCAGGGCAAGGCACATAAAATCTTCAAAGAAATTCACCAGCAATTGACCTCTTTCAAATGAACACCATCTCCCACTGTTCTTGATGGGACTGAGACCATATGTTGCCCTAATTTAAGATGATTATCTTCCTAAAATACCTCTCTGGAATGCAGATGTGCAGCTGCACCTGCCCAGTCTCTGAGTAGCCTCCTAGTACAACTTAGACATAGCAAAGCCATATGATTGACCACCAAATTTCACCAAACTACTACCCCAAATGCCCACAACTAATCATGTTGGGAGTGAGTGAGAGAGTGCAACTCACATGGTTTTTGTTATAACTTAAGTGATTTGGGGGAAGGGATTTTTGCCTGTCGTGAAAACATGAATGCTACTCATGATTTTTTCCTTATTCAACATGGTCACCATCTCCTACTATTGTATAAAGGGTATTTTTGTATATTATTAGATAGAAGTCAGTTGGGTGTGCAGCCAGGGGTCTTCCCATTCTCCATCCCTTTCTGCCCCCTTGGAGGGAGCCAGGCACTTTCAGAACTAAGCTCTTGTGATTCAAACATTCCACATATAAGATTCTGGGGTTCTGATCCAGGCTGGTCTCTACTTGGTTCAGCTGTGGGTTTACTTAGGGCACAGCATATAAGATTCCTCTCCCTTCCCACATCTTGGTCCAGGTGCACTGAAGAGAGCTGGAGATGAGGCCACCAAGCAAGAGGGCAGAGAGGTGAACAATGGACAGACCCCTGGCAGCACCCCCCTCTTTTAAAACACCAACCAGCAGCGTGGACATGGCACAGGATGAGGGAAGCAATTAGCATCTGGTAAAGTTCTGGCACAAATCCTCTCCCTCTGAGAGAAATGCCAGGGGACAGGAGAAGAACTGTGACTCTGAACTACAATTCCTCTACAAGTGGCTCCACTAAAGACCATCCTATACCTAGGGCATTGATAAACTCTCCATCCTACACTTAAGATTTCTTTGTAACTCTGTGTTTTGGAGACCCAAGAAAACATTGCATGAGGGTGAATGAGACGTGCTGTGGACAGTCTTTGGGTTTAATATTTGTGTGACCCCAGTGATGGAGAAATAAACCTTCTTGCTGATTGAAAGCTAGTTTTATGCTGCCTTTTTGATTTTCACACACAGACTAATTTGTATTCTGTCATTAAAGAAACACCCAGATGTGTGTCAGCCAAAGCAGGGTATAGCTAGGAACCAAAAATCTCTCTCTAAGGGCATGTCTACACTAGGAAATTATTTTGAAATAATAATTCCCAAAATAACTATTTCAAAATAAGTGTTATCCCTCATGACAATCAGAATACAAATGGGCTTGGTAGGGTAGACACTTTGCTTGTTATTTTGAAAGAAGGGGAGTTATTTTGAAATGAATCTCTAGTGTAGACCAGGGCTCAGAACTGTGTGAAATAATGTTAATATCCCAGGCACAGGTTAACTCCTGCTCTCTCCTTATCAGTACGGTTGTCAAAGTCTAGAACTTCTCAGCCATATGCTCTGAACATGAGACTGAACCTGTCTCCACATGCATGCTCCACAGCTCAAGCAGGGCCCATCTCTTTCTCAGGCTTGTAGGGAGAGTAGAAGGGTAGAGGGGGTGGGATGTTGAGTGTTGCAGAGTGGAGTATTTTTAATCAATTATTTTATTATAGCTTGATTTTTTTATTTTTGAGCAGGGGCTAGGTTGTTTAGGATGCTTTCTTGTATTGGCTGTGATCTTAGGTGATGGCATGGTACCTAGACCTTTGGGTAGATGCCTTTTTTGTTGTAAAAAGTGAAATAAAAATAAACGTTGTGAGTTTGTATATGGCTCCAATCCTGCAAGACACTGAGCTCCCTATCTCCCATTGATTTCACTGTAAGTGGAAGATGCTTACCGTTGGACTCTAAGTAATTCTTTTGTTCTTTTGAATGCACTTACCCTCAGTTTTTTTTTAATTGTCCAACATAGACATACCCATGCAACAGCCATAGAATTAAGATGAAGATTCAGGATTTCAGTGAACTTACTGTAATAGTGATGGGAGTAGTCAGTTTTGGGATAACTTTGATGCTTAATGTTACTGTCCCAGTTTCAATGAAGGCTGTAGCTCTGTTTGAACTTGACAGCAAATTGTCATCTGTTATATAGACTTGCAGTCTGTAGTCCCAGATCATATCCAAACCACTGTCATAGTCAAATCTAGATGCTAGAATCAACTCAGAGACATTGGAGCCGGAACTTGGTGAAAATATGAAATGATTATTCACATTACCTAGAAGTGAAAGCAAAAAACAAAACAAAATAAAACACACAAAATACTGATGTAAAAAGGGCCACTGATTTCACTTCTTTCTGCAATTTGACTGTACAGCACTGCCTTCAGAAACCACTGAAAAGGATGTTGTGCTCCAGCAGCGTTAGCACTGATCCATTCTATGACGTGACTCTAGCTTCTAAAACTTGATTCCTAGGATGTGATGTACAGTGACACCATAGTTGAAGTGCTAAAGGTAGGAGATAAGCACCTTCAGTGAGACATACCTCTGAGATCAGACTTTTGCAGAAGGGTTAATGCTAGGGGCTTTTGAAGGAGATCCTCTCAGTACCCAAATGAGCTGATCTTTACAACTCTGCATGAGATACTGTGCTACACCTTCCCTAGAAACAGCACAGAATTTACAGCCTGGGATGGGGATTAAGGTGGCTTTAAAACACACCTTTTAGGGTCTCCCAATCCTGGGCTATTCTGGCTCACCAACATAATTTAGGGCTTGCCCACACTTAAAACACTACAGCAGCACAATTATGCTGCTGTAGCGCTTCACTGTAGACCATGCTTATGCCAATGGGACACTCCTGTTGGTGTAGCTAATCTACCTCCCTGAGACACAGTAGGTAGGTCAACAGAAGAAGTCTCCCAACAACCTAGGGCTGTCTACATAGGGACTTAGATTGTCTTAACAATGTCATTCAGGTGTGTGGATTGTTATGCACATGTAGAACAGCTTGGAGCAGTGCTCCAAATTCCGCTCTGTTACATGGATAAAAAACTGAAATACTGGAATTCCATTAAGTCCTCTGGGTTATTCAAGGTTTACCCCATTATAACTGAAAGTACAATTTGTCCCTGTGTACAAGAGTAGTAGCAGCCTGGCTGACTTTAGTCAAGTCAGTGTTTGTTTTGCCATTAATGTAACTGGAAGCTCTTGCTACCTAATCTTTACTTTCTAAAGTGCCTATCATGTAACATGTCCTAGACTTTTTTTCACAAAATCCAGTGGATAGTTTATCGCTAAGTATTTTCCCTGTGCACCAGGTATACAAGAATGATATTCAAGAGTCAACAAGTGCAGTACCTGAATTAATGAAGTACCGGAAAGATCTAGGACTAGAATCGCGATCAACACACTCTATCCTGAAACCCTCTATGTTGGTCCCAACAGCCAGGTCTGCTGGGATTGCTAACGAATAGGTATTGGCTGAACAAACTGGTTTTTCATCATTTTCTTCAAGAACATTGATGGTTACCTGAAAGAGAAATCCAGCTGATCAAGTGAGATTCTCCCACTGTGCTGTGCCAGAGTAGAATTTATTCTTCATTCTTTTTATCAACAGTAGTTGAACACGAGCAATAGGGAAGATCCATTAATCTAGTTTTTGCCTCAGACATGTTAATGTTCAAGAGATCATGAACTCATGTTGTGACCAATGTTTCTTTAGAACTCCAATTCTTTAAGGCAGATTATGTTCTAACATTGCACTTTGTTTTATGTGGGACTTTTGAATTGCCTAGAATATGTCATTCTCAGAATGGAAAATAATACCGTACACTCATTAGAGAGAGCCATTCACCTAAAATTCTCAAAGTGCTTCACAAATGTTAATTAAGCTTCCCTGTACATTTAGTAATACTTCGGGGATTGTTCCATGCATGAAGGGAACCCTCCTCCTGTAGATCAACCCTTTCCCATGTGGAGATGAGGAAGTGTGAGCAGGTAAGTATTCTCCCCCAGCCCTTGATCCTTCACCAAGTAATTCTTGGCTGGAATGGAGAATTGGCCCTAAAATCTTGGTGACAATGCAGGATGTACTGTCAAAATCAAGTGTAATGCAACAAATGGAGCGGAGCAGATGTTATCCATTAAAGGAACAGAAGTCTGATGTTCTCTGAAACACATCAGGAGTGAATGTAAGTGTATGTAAACTCTTATGGTGGCATGTGGAATCCAGGCACTACACATGTAGGGATACACCACAGTTGAAAAGCAGGCTGCAGCCATACTTGTTACTTTGGTGTGTAGCTACATGTGGCAGCGAAAGACTCCAGCACTGGGGAAAGGCTCCGGCAGCTCCTCACTGCCAGGGCCTTTCGCTGCAAGGAAAGGGTCTGGGAGGTGAGAAGCTGCAGAGAGGCTCTAACAACAGGAAGATGCTGTAGCCTCTCCCCACTGCTGCATCTTTTTGCTGTGGTGGGGAAAGACTCCTGCCTCAGAGAGCCAGCAGTACATTACACTGCTACAAATAGCAGTCGAAACATGGGAGGTCTTGCTTGGGCATGTAGACAGCCATGCGCAGTATCTACCCTAGATTCCAGGAGTGCCGGGCACACTTCACTCGCTTAAGCTGTGCCTCAAGGTCCATACAGCAATTTATACCTGGGCTAGCTGAGCCTGCAGTATCTGTGCTCAACATCCTGCTGTATGTATCAACAAGCCCTTTAATGCTTTTGTGGATACACAGAAAGTTCTCTTACTGCCCATTTAAAATATCAAGAATGAATAGTGGGCAGATAAAAGATGGTGTTTAAAGACAAAGGAACAAATAAAAATACAACCTTTTTTTTTTTAAATGCCTGAACTCCTAGCTCCCTCCCACTGTATCCTTCCTCTGTGTGAAATTCAGCCCTGTGTAGAGGGCCTGCCCACAGGCCTAATATCATTTCAGTGATGCAAATATCACTGAGCTATGCAAAAGTCTTGTGTTGATCATGGACATAGAGTACATTTTGTCTCATCTAGGGGAGGCATTTACAGAAGTGATAACATTTTACTCACAGAGACCGTAGCAAACTTCTCTGTGTCAGAAGCTTGCACTGTGACAATGTACCTCTGCGTTGTTTCATAGTCTAATGTAGCAATAATCTGCAGATTTCCTTCATTTGGATTGATCCAGAATATGTTTGTATAAGAAAGAGTACCTCCTCCAGCTATAATGGAATAGGTGATTCCAGTAAATGGTAAATCCTGGTCCGTTGCACTCACTTTTCCAATACTGGATCCAGCTGAAAAAAAGAGTCATGTTAACGTAACATTCACATACATAACATTTATATAAAGTTACATACAACATGAAATATAAGGCCTATAAGGCTCATCCTAAGTGATTTTTTTCATTCAAATAATGTAGGCAGATTTTGACATAACTCTAATTTAGAACTTGTTTTAACAAGATATTATTCCAGAATTGTCACTCCAGGTTAACTCCTGGTGTAGATGTTCTTGTTCCAGAATAAGTCTATTATTTCAAATTAGCTTAGTACATTTCCAAAGATACTCTTATTCTGCAATGAGAGTGTCTGCACTAGGAGTTCATCAGGAATCTGTGCATGATGTTCACACGCTACCATAATCTGAAATAATTTCTCAGTATAAACAAGCCCTCCGATTTGTTTTATTTCTTTAAAAAAAAAAAACTATGAAAAAGAGAAGGGGTAAGAAATCCAAAAGTTTCCCATATTTTGCTATCAATTCCCGCATATGTGATTTTTTTTTTTTTTCACATGTGGTACTAGAGCAGGGGTGAGTAATAAGCCTATGAGAGGGCTTGCTTCTGGTGAGTTACACTTCTGCTTTACATTTAGCCAATGGGTCGTGTGTGTCTCAAAACTGTTAGAGAAATATCAGATTCCACAGTCCCAAGGTGTGGGTCGCTTTTAAAAATGCAATATATCAGCGGGGAGACAGGGAACCATTGCAGCGTGTGGTGGAAGACTGGATTTTATAAAGACAATCAGTGCCATAATAAGCTAACTTTGTGCCTGAGGCATGAATATAAAATTGCACCCCCTTGTGTGTGTATATATTCATAGTAGTTATTTAATAGAAAAAGGGAAAATACATAAATAACAATAATAATAATAACACAATGTTTGTTTATGCAGATCTCATAACTATAATAATCAATTAATACATATCTTCTATCTAATATATAAAGGAGAATGTTTGTAAGTTTGTGCTATAATAACTTGGACACTATAAGAGCTACCACAGCCAAACTTTGCATGGGATAACCTTTCCTCCAGGAGAAGGTTTTAAGGTACTGTGGGAGGGTGTGACGGGGGCCCCACTCTCCCCTCCCACCTCCCCCACACTAGCTCCACCTGCAGCAATGCGCTCCCAGGCCGTCGCTATTCTGGGCCTGTGGCGCTTGCGCAGAGGTGGCACACGGAGGACCGCCCTCATGGCACAGGCGTGCCTCAGGTGGACCTGGGGAGAACAGGGGCACCAGCATGGAAAAGGGCGCTGATGGTTAAAACCAGCATCGGGCCAGACACAAGGGGGGGAGAGAGGGAAGGGGGAGCGGTGTCGGCTCTTTTGCACACTGCCACCTCCCTTCCCCACCACCTCCCTAACTGCCACCCTGTGCCCCACACAGACAGCACCCCGCTCCTCCCCACTCTTCCCTCGCCACTTCCCAAACTGCCAGCCTGTGCCCTGCCTGGAGAGTGCCCTGCTCCTCCCCACCCCTCACCTGCCATCTCCTAAACTGCCAGCCCGTGACCCACACAGACAGTGCCCCTTCCTTCCCACCCTTCGCCCGCCACCTCCCGAACTTCCAGCCTGTTCCCCACATAGACAGAGAATCTGATTTTCTTCCACCACATCTATCCAAGTCCCACCCTATCTAATATGTAAAGGTGAATGTTTGTAAGTTTGTGGGCTAATAACTTGGACACTTGTAAGAGCTACCGCAACCAATCTTTGCATGGGAGAACCTTTCCTCTAGGAGAAGGTTTTAAGGGACTTTTGGGCCCGATCGGGGTTCCGCCCTGCCTCCCGCAGCACCTGCGGCCCCGGGCGCGAGCTGGGACGCCCCTCCCGCATGCAGCCTCCCTGGACTTGCCCCCTGCTGCCTGCGAGGTTACATAATCAATCCTCTTCCCCTCCCCTCCCCCTGCCGGCACGCAGTGCCTCTACCTTCATGTGCACAACGGCTCGGGGCACCCGCCCTGCCCCCCGTGGACAAGCTGGGCCGCCCCTCCTGCGTGTAACCTCCCCTCCCCCTGGGGTCACTCCCCACCTGCCACCCCGCCCTCCGGAAACCAAAACCAAAGCCAGCCTTTCTGCTCAGCTCACTGGGCTTATCCGAGCAGAAGGAATCCATTTGCCTGCTGCAGCGCAGTGTGGAGGGGCCGAGTTAAATCCTCCACACGTTTCACTGCTGTGAAGCCAGCCGGCTGCTGTTTGTACTGTGAGCTGGGCTCTTCTGGGTCTGGTTCCAGCCATCAGGGTTACATGTGAGCTCTGAGCTTTTGCTTGCTAAGGCAGGACAGGTGGATCCCTGAGACAACCTTGCAAAGAGAAGTCCCCTTGCTACTGGCCACATGACTGTGTACTGTTCTCCTGGGGGCTGCTGCTCAGTCCTAAGGGGAGAAGGGTCCTGCTGCTCTCAGAGGGTCAGGTGTGGGCCAGGAGCCATCAGCCCCCAGGGTCTGTGGCTCTGGGGGTCCCTTGGCTCGGGGTCCCCTTAGATTGTCTCAAATCAGGCTGAAACTTGCTTTATCTATCTATCTATCTATCTATCTATCTATCTATCTATCTATCTATCTATCTATCTATCTATCTATCTATCTATCTATCTATCATATAAATGAGAATGTTTGTATGTTTGTGCGCTAATAACTTGGACACTATAAGAGCTACCACAACCAAACTTTGCATGGAATAACCTTTTATCCAGGAGAAGGTTTTAAGGTACTGTGGGAGGGAAGAGATAAGAGATCGATGCCTCTCCCTGGGGCTGCACAGAGCTTGGCAGTGTGGGGAGAAGTGGCTTCCCGGGAGAAGTGGCGGGGCCAGTCATTCACTGAGGCTGGCAAAGGGACAAGGAAGTGGAGGGCTGGCTTGGGGACCGGTGGCAGGCGCACGGCTCCCTTCCCCCTCCCTCCCCTCAGACTCCTCACCTCAGTTATATCAACTTTCCCGAGCAATGCCGGCTAACTCCAGCTAGTATACCTATCATTATAAAATATCACCATGTCAGGTACTATTAGGTATTTGTTTATAATTGTACTCTACATGCTTTTAATGAGGCAAACTCATGAACAATTGCATTGAAATTAATATTATTTGCTACCCCGACCCATAGAACCCAGGGATCGTAGCTCCCAGACCCCCAGCTCTAATCACATACCCCTAAGACTTAGAGTCACTCCCCTGGAGAGGTGAGACAAGACCCAGGAGTCCTGGCTCCCTGCCTGACACCCCCACCTCACCCCCTGCACCTCTGCCCCTGTGCAGGGCAATCTGAGCCCCTTCTTCCCTGGCCCTGCTCCTGGGAACTGTGCTAGAGCACCTCACAGTGGTGCTTGGTGTGGCCTCGCCGGTATCAGGCCTCCCACGCCGCTCGGAAGCAGCTGACATGCTGGGCAGCTGCCGTGGCTGGTGACTGTTGGATTGTAGAGCGGCAACGTGCAGCCTGCCATGTAAACTGCAGGCCAGCCGATGCTGATGAGCGTGGGAGCTGTCTTAAAATAAGTAGCTGTCTTAAAGTAATTAGTTTTCTATGTTATTTTTTTGCGCCTTCTCAGCTATGCACCGGAGGCAAGTGCATCACTCGCCTCGCCCTTGTTACAGCCCTGAAGATGATAGTTTATATTCGGGGGTGTTCTTACTTTTACATTTTTGCTGCCTGGTTTAGTAACATAGTATAATAGAAAACTTCCACAACCAATGAAAATTGGCTGATAAAACTGCTGCACAAACTAGAAAGAACTTGGCCCTTTTAAACCCAGTGAAAATGCCCACAAAAAGCTGTCATTTCCATCTTTTACCTCCTCCCTCCAAAAAATCTTCCATATTCCTGATGAAACTCTCTGTCCATCTCAGTTACTGTACACTCAAAGTAAAAAGATTTTAAAAGCCAGCATTAAGTAAAGTTTCAGGTAAGGGATATTGTAAACACATAGGTGGTAGACATGCTCCTCACAGAAGCTGCTTAGGAGTAACTACAGTACAAAAAGTGCAGAGTGGCTAGAAGGGATATCTGACAGGGAGAGGTAGAAAAGGCAGTGGGAGGTCTCAGGGGAAGCTGAGGCAGGCCATGTAAAATGTGCAAGAAACTGTCCAACAGCATGAGTGGGAGATTTCATGCTTGAAAGTTTTTGCAAAAATGGTTTAACCTGCAATTTTTTGTTATAGCCCAAGCAGTTTCCTTAGAGCAACTGTGTCTACACTATGCGTTTTGCCAGAAGAGGCAATGCAAATGAAGCGCAGGTTAGCATTTTCTCATGCTTCATTTGCATAATCTCTTCCAATCCATTTTTGCACAAGAGGTTTTTGCACAAAAACATGCAGTGTGGACATGTCCATTTTGCGCAAAAAAAAACCCCTTTTTGCTCAAGATCCTTATGCCAATCCCAAGAGGCATAAGGATCTTGAGCTAAAAGTGGGGTTGTGCAAAACGGACATGTCCACACTACATGTTTTTGTGCAAAAACCTCTTGTGCAAAAATGGATTGGAAGAGATTATGCAAATGAAGCATGAGAAAATGCTAACCTGCGCTTCATTTGCATTGCCTCTTCCGGCGAAATGCGTAGTGTAGACATAGCCAATGTGTTTTCCCCCACCCCCAAGCGAGTGCAAGTCCAGCGGTGTTTTCTTCTATATACTATTCTGCTAGGTGGGAGTGGATGGTGCCTAACATGTTGCCCTGGGACTTGAAGTGTCAGCCTGATGACACCCCCACTACAACAGAAGTTTCAAGGGACCCTCAGAAGAAGGCAGCTTAATGGCTGTCATTCCCTGTGCCCGAGGCAGGGGACTCCTTCTCAGCTGAGCCAAGCCTTTTTGGACCCTTTCGTGCCCTTTTAAACAGTGTAAAATGGCCACTATGGGCCCAGAGAATCTTGCCCAAGAGCTGTGTGTTCAGTTCTTGGTTCTACCATAGAATTACTCCATAACCTTTGGCAAGTCACTTAATCTCTCTTCCCCCATTTGTGAAAGGGGGCACAATACAGTAAAACTCCAATTGTCTGGCATCCAGGGGTCCGGCACTCCTGATAGTCTGTCACCAACTGGAACCCGGCAGTCCTCCGACCAGTCGGACAATTGGAGCTGCTGTGAGCCCCGTGGGCGCTCGCGTCTGGGAAAGGGAAGGGGAGAAAAGGGGAAGGGGATTATAACCCTGTGACGGGTCTGCTAGGATCCACACTGCGTCTTGCCGGGGAGCAGGGAACAGTGCAGTGAGGAGCGAACCCTTCCCCAGGAAGGTGAGGGAAGCCCCGCGCAGCCGCTGAGAGTTTCCGGGAAGGGAGCGGGCTCCCCACCCCCCAGACTACAGTATTATTGCTGAGCAAGGGGGTGAGGGGGCATTCTCTACTGCATGTTCATCAGGACTGTCACAATCTTCCTCATACAAATTGTCTCAAGAAAAGCCTAAGACCAGCAAACTCTACCTTGCCTATCCTTGTACTGATGTGTGTGAGTGGTAACTCACTGAAACGGAGTGTTTATTGTCAGTTTCAGCAGCGGCAGCGGCGGACTTGGGGAAGCTGTGGGGTAGAGCAGCTGGGATGCTGCCAGGTTGGTCCCACAGCACCGTCCCTCACCCCCCTGCTCAGCAATAACTACTGCAGTCTGGGGGTGGGGAGACCGCTCCCCTCCCAGAAACTCTCTGTGGTGGCGCAGGGCTTCCCCCGCCTTCCTGAAAAATGGCAGAGGGTTCACCCCTTGCCACGCCGTTTCCCACCCACCCCCAGGACACAGTGTGGATTCCGGCAGACCCGTCACAGCTCCCTGCTGGAGTACCTCCCGATACTCTGGCATATCCGATAATCCGGCACCACCTAGGTCCCAAAGGTGCCGGATTATCGGCAGTCTACTGTAATATATCCTTTCTCCCAACCTTTACCTGTTTTGTCCAGTTACATTGTAAACTTTGTACATTGAGGTTGTGCAATGGAGCCCTGATCTTGGCTGGGGCTTTGAGGTACTATTGTAATACAAACTAATATATAATGTTGCCCCCAAGATGATTATTCTACACTGTAACAACCTTAAACCTAAAGGATAGCTTTTATTTACTGTACCTCGAGTAATTTCTGAAACATTAAATACATATGATGAGCTACTGAAGACTGGGAAGAACTCATTTACTGCCATTATTCTGATGTAAATGTAGATATTATCTGGAAACATAACGGAAGATAAATGAATGGTTAAGTATGGTTATGAAAATGTCTGAACATAAACGTAATTTTTATAACATTTCTTCTTCTATGCAGTAATGGCATAGGAAAACATCTCAAAGAAAAATAAAAGGGATACTTGCTAGTATAGTAAGGCCATGCAATATCTTGCACCACAGTAGTCAAAGTATATTTCTCAACTGCTAGATTAGCTGGATTTTCAAAATCCAAATCTCCAGTCAACTAGATTAAGAAAAGAAAACTGTATATTTGCCTCATTACATAAAGTCACATCACACACCAAGCAAACAATGATTTCCAGTGCTCTGTCAATATGCTGGCTAAGTACACACACGAGTGCAGGGGTGGGGAACCCTTTTTGGGTTGGGGGCCACTGACCCAAAGAAATATCAGTCAGGGGCTGCACACAAGTGAAAAGTAAAACAAAACCAAAAAACTCCCCACCCCTCACTGACATGGTCCCTGACCGAGAAGGAGAACTCCTCACATTCCCCTTGCACACCAGAGCCAAAGGGGGTCCAGCCTATTAGATTTTGTGTGCAGCTCTGCAGTGGGATGGGAGGGGTCTGGAATGACAGTATGGACTCCCCAATGCGGGGGGGGGGGGGGACATCTGAGCCTCAGGGGGCAGATCCAGGCAAGCTGGGGGCCGCATGCAGTCCCAGGCGTGAGGTTTTCCACCCCTGCACTATTGCCTTCTTGGGCTGAATTCACATTGGTGTCCGGTTGTAATTCCTAGCTCCATTACAGACATGGGGATTCATTCTCCTTAGCTAAATGTGTAAGAGGCCTATGATGTGTGTAGCAGAAAGCTTTGACCTTTTGATCTTTAGTTCCAAGTGTGTGTAACACGCTGTCTAGGTGCAGAGGTGAAAGTAAGGTGCTGTGCCCTGGTGCACTGCTCCCGCAAGACCTGTCTGAGGCTCTCTGATTAGAGCAGTGCAGCTTGCAGTGCGCTCTCCCAGCCGGGCTCCTCATTGCAGGAGGAGTAACGGTAGTCCGAATTAGGGGCTTTAGTTCGAACTACCTAGCCGTGCCACGTGTAGCCGCGGGCACCAAGTTCAAACTACCGGGCATTTAAAAATGGCGGCGCCCGGGAACATGCAAATAAAGCCCGGGATATTTTAATCCCGGGCTTCATTTGCAAGTTTGAATGACTACATTAGCCACCTTGGTTCGAACTAGGGTGGCTAGTGTAGACATATCCTGACTGGTTAAAACTGGGGGGAAACATTCTTTCCAATTTAAGAATAAAGAATAATTATGGATTATGATCTCTAGAAACCCTAGAGACCACTCTCACAAAAAAAAATCATACTCATTTCATCAACAATTTAAATAGACATAATGTGAATAACAATTTTTCCTGAAAGGATAACGAAACCTGGGTATTAAGGGATTTTCTAATCGGACACCGTAAAATAAAACAACTAACCACAATTCTTCCAGAGCCAGATTGATTCAGTGTAAATCTGTTACTTCCAACTCCAGACAATCCAGTGAAGTTAAATTCATTATTTGGTGGTTCAACATCCATATCCTGGCACTGATCTTTCAGGTCAAGGAGAAGTATCCCAGTGGAGGCTGTTTCATATACCTCAACTCTGTCAAAAAGAAACATGTTTCCCATCATGCCTTTTCATAACATTCCTCTTAATAGCTTTTGAAGTGTACTGCATACTGACTTCCAGATATTTTTCAAATCCAAGATTCCAACACCCCAAACTTTTAGGAGCAGAGCTGGAAGCTATTGAGAGAACTCAAACCAAAATTTTGAAACACCCTTAACTTTAGAATCAGCATTAGGGTCTCAATTTGATCCACCTCAAATTAGTATCCTTTAAACATTTGCATTTCAGCAAACTATTTACGTGCTGAGGCATGCTACTTCATTTACTCCTTAATTGATATATGGCCTTGGTTTTCCTTCTCTGAATAAAATAGTTAAGTATGTGCTTAATTTTACTGATGTGACTAGCCCCATTGAAACTGGTATACGACCACAATTAATAAGACCACTTGCATGCTAAAAGTAAAGCATATGTTTGTTGGATCAGGGTCTATGACAATTTGGAAGTAATCTTATGCCATCATAGGCCCTTATCCAGTAACATGTGCTTTCCTTTCAGAATGCACCTTGTGATATTTTTCCAGTTAAATTACCTATAATAACCAACAGTCTGTCGAATGGTTTTGATAAACCTTGATCAAAGCAATTCTTATACATCAAAGAGAAATGTCCTCCAGAAATGGAATAGAAGACAACCATAAAGTTGCAGTGTGAGCTCCAGATGTTCTGTTGACAGTCGCATCATCTTGACAATGTCATACTATATTGATGGAAGACCCTGATGCCCCATTAGAATGCAATGTCAAGAACCTGATTCACAATTATGCTTCAGTTTTCTGCAATTCCATTTCCCACAATAACTCCTCCATCTCCCTACTTCCTTGTTGCTTTCAGGGATGAGGTGGAATAATGTCAGCCCTAGACACTTCACTCAATACTACTTGAGCAGCCTTATATCTGTCAGGCAAGATGGGAGTAGCTGGTGCTTTGAGACATAGACTCTTCGGGATTTATTTACTGGATGTCGGGTTCCAGTCTGAGAAGCAGAGATTCTGAGAGAGACTTTGGAGTCATGGGAGTAATAACTGAACATTAGCTCCCAGTGTAATGCCGTAGCTGAAAGAGCAAATGTGATCTTTGGATGCACAAATGGGGGAATCTTAAGCAGAAGTAGAGTTGACATATTTGGCATGGTATGATCACTACTGAAGGCTGTGTCCAGTTCTGCCGTCTACAATTGAAAAAGAATATTAATAAATTGGGAAGATTGGGAAGGGTACCCAGAAAAGACATGTGAATGCTTAAATGCCTTATAGTGATTAAACTTGAGGAGTCCTATCTATTGAGCTCAACAAAGAGAAGGCTAAGGGTGATTTGACGGTGGTATGTAAGTACCTACATAGGGAATAAATATTTATAATGGGTTCTTCAAGTTAGTGTCTAGTAATTGAAGTTAGACAAATTCAGACTGGAAATAAGGTGTAAAGTTTAACTGGGAGGGTAATTAACCACTGGAGCAGTTTACCAAGGGTCATGGTGGATTCTTCATCACTGACAATTTTATATCAAGACTGGATGTTTTTCTAAAAGACACCCTCTAGTTAGTTCAAAGAGGAATTATTTCAAGGAATTATTTGTGGTCTGTGTTATATAGGAGGTCAGATTAGATGGTCAAATTGGTCCTTTTTGGCCCTAGAATCTGTGCAAAATGTCCCAGTGAGCTACAGGGTAAGGTTCACAATATTTAAAAACACAGGTGGAGGAGATTCCTCATCACTGGTAAGGCATGAGAGGGGTTTGGGTGGCCATGTGTCCCCTCCCCAATGCCACAGGCAGGAGGGGCAAGGGGCCAGAGCCTCTGGGTGGCTCAAGGGACGAGCGGGGGGCACCCCAGCAGCAGGGGTCAGGCCCTCCCGCACTCACCGACTCTCCCCCCCCGCTGCTGGCACATCACTCAGGGGAGCATCGCCCCCTACACTCAGCAGTGGAAAGCAGAGCAACGTGCCAGCAGCCGGGGAGCAGAGCTCCATTGCTCCACTTTCCTCCCGCCGCCACAGATGAGTGTAGGTGGTCCTGATCCCAGAGACCAGCTCTAGACTCCCGTTAATCCCTCGGGCCACATTTCTGGGAGAGGAAGATTGGGGGAAGAGGCAGGGCAGGGGCAAGCCCTAAGGTAGAGGGGACATGGTTTCCCTCCTCCCCACATCAGTGGGGAGGAGTCATGTGGGGAGGGGGCAGTCTCATGGCTAATGCCTCCACTGCACCCTTGTCATGGCTAATGCCTCCACTGCACCTTTCTTCACCAGTCACCCCTGTTCCTCATAACTACAGGGTTTCTTCCTAACTGGCTTCTTTGGAACCTAAAGTAAATTGTTCAGATCAATATAAATGTCAATTTAGAGAAATGTTTTCTTGTCATTAAATAAGCTGGGCTTATTTCCCATCTTACTCTGTGCTATTCTGGTGTTTTCAATATGCTTAATTAAAGAGCTATTCTCTCATGTATTCATTCTTTCACGAAATATCTAGGAATTCAATCTAGTGACAGAAGTGACTGGTGAGTTTCTTCCCTGTCAGTCTGAGTCGATTAGTTTTAAAAACAGCAGCACGGAATTAATAGAAGCAAAGTGAGTAGGGCCGATCCTGCTCTGTTACACCAACTCAAGAGTGACACCTCTGAAATGATCTGAGTTAGAGTAATATAAAACTGGGTGTGAGATCAGAACCAGGCCCTGAGATCCAGCTCTGTAGTCCTTGTTCAGACACAGTTCCCTAGATAGGGAGCTGATCCTAGGTAGAGTTTCACAATTAGAAAGGTTACAGGACTGGGTCTTTTAAATGTGAATTGAAAAGATTTGATAAAAACATATACAATGGGCCTCACAACTGGAAGTGTGTGAATAACTGATTTTTCAGTCTCCTGGTCAATTCTGAAAAATTATGATATAAAATTCAGTTTGTGTCTAACCAAAACTGAAAAATTGTAGAGACTTGGAGGGGAGGGATGTTGCAAATCTCAGGCACATACCTTAATCACTGGGCTAAATATTACAAAGGAGTTTTTTTCCTCCTGTGTCAGTTTTGTAAATAATGCCAAAATCTCCTTGTGACTCCAGCCACCCAGCCAAAATCTTTATTTTATTAAAACAGCAAATTCATGAATTGTTTCACATTGACCAAAGCTACTTTTTATTCCTGCACATAAGCTGTGTGAAAATGTTCTCCAAGTTCTATTGACAACAGAACAAAAATGGAATAACATGGTGGATCAGCCCCATTAATTGTGAAAAATTCCAAATCGTTCAATCCAACCTGTCTCAGCTTCTCCACTCCCACAGCAGGAAAGTTAGCAGGACTGATGGTAATTCATAGTGTTTGCCATGTGGTAGTTGCTGCACATCAAATGCCTATAAGGGCCTTGAAGAGTTTGCAAACCAAGAACATGAATAGTAATAGAGAGGTAAAATGCTACATAGTTTTTACTTTTGTTTTAGCAAGAACATGAAGAGAGCAAACGAAGTAGGAGAGTAGAAAAAGAAGAGGGCAAAGATTAAAATTAATAGGCAGAATGGTCTGAAAGTTGACCACTTAGCATGCTCCCATTTAATAAATTAACATGAAATAAGAGGTGAAAAGTCTGCTCCTATTCTAAACAGAAATGATTCCACTTTTAATTATATAGAGTGTATGGCCCCTCGGTATTGCCGTGATTGGCACCTAAATGAGAGAAAGAGATAAATAAACCCCTGATTTGGCACAGATGTTTTGGTTCCAATATTCCAACTCCAAACAACTGGGCTGTCTAGACTGGCCAGTTTTTCTGGAAAATCAGCCGCTTTTCCGGAAAAACTTGCCAGCTGCCTACACTGGCCGCTTGAATTTACAGTAGGAAGTCAGTGCTTTTTGCGGAAATACTATGCTGCTTCCGTTTGGGCAAAAGTCTCTTTTGCGCAAAAGGGCCAATGTAGACAGCTGAGATTTGTTTTGCGCAAAAAAGCCCCGATTGCGAAAATGGCGATCGGGGCTTTTTTGCGCAAAGGCGCATCTAGATTGGCCACAGACGCTTTTCCGCAAAAAGTGCTTTTGTGGGAAAGCGTCCGTGCCAATCTAGATGCTCTTTTCTGAAAATGCTTTTAACGGAAAACTTTTCCGTTAAAAGCATTTCCGGAAAATCATGCCAGTCTAAACGTAGCCCAGGATGTTTGAGCCCTGTATTTGAAGGGACATAATCAGGACTTACCAGTAGAAGACGATATGAAACACACAGATTCAGGTTCTGGGTGCTTAATTGGGGTGCCCTACATCAAATACTGACCCCATCAAATCAGCGAGGCACAGCATGAGTAGCTTCGTACCTGAAGTTGTACAAGTTACATTCTGGTGGGTTGTCATTGAGATCTCCGATAGTGACTGTTATCTCCATTTCATTTGTTTGCCCACCACTGGGACTGTCCTCCACATGAATAACCAATGAGATGTTAGGATGTTGGCGTAGAGGAGCAGCATCTCGATCTATTCGCCTAGCCACGTAAATTGCACCAGTTACTAAGAGGAAAGAATTGAGGGGTTAGATATTCACCACAAGAAAGGAAATGACAAGTAGTCACATTTAAATATAATGTTCTTTTCAAGGACTTGATGGCTCAGGGAACTGGTGGTAAATATGAAGCCATTCCCAACCTCCATGTCACTGTTGTTTGTTTAGTGATCTGAAATAAACTGAGGCTAATCCTTAGCACAAAAATATCATAGAATCATAGAACACTAGGACTGGAAGGGACCTCGAAAGGTCATCGAGTCCAGTCCCCTGCCCTCCTGGCTAACAGCCACAGCAAAGAGGCCAATGACTGAGCAGACACGAAGACTGACTACCTTCTTAGCCCTAGTAGGGATATTTGTAAATCAGGGGTGAGGCACATTTGCAGTGTACTGTTGAGACGTGTGCACTGCTAATGTTCATGCTGTCCCTGTTTTGTTGCTAAAGAGAGGTCTTCATTTTCTAGGGCTCTCAAGGCAGTATTTTTCATCTGCCCTAGATCTAGATATAAATAAAAAAAGCAGTCATGTAGCACTTTAAAGACTAACAAGATGGTTTATTAAGTGATGAGCTTTCGTGGGGCAGACCCACTTGTTCAGATCATATTCTGAAAGTGAATCGGCATGGGCATTATGTAACAGAGGGGTACAATGAAGAAGTAAACAAATTATACAGTAATGAATCAGCTACACAGAATAGAAGGTGTGGGTGAGGGGACAAGGAAGAGACAAGGAAGGAGGAAATTGCTTATTGTGAGACAATTAAGTGGCTAATCTGGAGTTACTATGAGTATCAAAAGGTGGGGAGGCTGTCTGTAATGTGTAAAGTAATTATAATCTAAATTAAGGCCCATTCGAAACCTGTTGAATTTTAGCATAAATAAAAGTTCTGAAGTCTCCCTCTGTAATCTCTTTGTGTTAAAGTCTCTTTGAAGTAAGGGCATGTTATGTGGTTAGGTTTAAATACCCATTCTCCAGAAACTTCCCCTATTATCACCCCTATGTCATTACCTCACAGACACTAACCTTCCCCCCTTACCCCCACTCTGTTCTAAAATTTGATTTGTCAATTTCACATGCGTTCATTTTTTTGATTGTACCACTTTGGTATATATGGTTGTACCAATTTTCTTCCACAAATTGATCTGAGGAAGTGGGATTTAAATCCCCACTTCATTTGCAATTGCGATGTGTCTAATTTGCATCCCTTTTACGGAAAAGGAATGCAGTCTAGACACAGCCAGTCTGTGTTTCAAAAAATACTAAAGGGGAGTGTAACAATCTAAGCCCAAAAAGCACAGGGAATCCAAAGCATTTAGCAAAAAGAAAATGAGTCATTGTGCCCAATTCTGCAGTGCACTGTGTTTTGTGAAGTCATTTACAACTGTGCTAGCCAGATCGAAAGTGCTACCAGATCAGAAGAATAGCATTCACTGACACCACTGTAAATTATTCAAGGAGAATCTGATGGACATGCATGGTAGAGGGCAAAAAGAGCACAGGTGTTTTTCTCTCATGTTATAGGAGCTTACCAAGTCTTCTGAGCTGTCTCACCTGGGGAAAATAATGGATTTGAATTATGGCAGTTCAGAAGGTCTCACCCTGAGAGGAGTTTCAGCCTACACCTTGAAGGACATTAAAGGCCCTGTCCTTGCCCCCCTGATCTGACCACTTTTTGTTGCTCCCATGGTTCAAAGAGGCATAAAGCTGACCTAAAAGGGCAACCAAGGAGTCTTTTTTCTTGGAGGAATCCCAGGCTGTTATAAATGTCTACATGACTTTCTCCCTGCCCACCCCTGACAAAGTGCATGTTGAAGGCAGGAGAGGAGATGGCTGGAGTATTCTCTGATAATGTCCAGCTGGTACAACAACCCCTTGGAGGATTTTGAAGCCAACACAGATGAGGCAGATTGGGAGACTACAATAATTCATTGGGGGGAGGGGGAGATGGAAGAGGAGGAGCAGCAGCCCCTATGATTAGGTGAGTTTAAGCCACTTTTGCTCCCCTCTTTTCATTTCCATGTTGAGCGAAGCTCAGCCAGACCCAAAGACTTGCCCCTAATAATTTATTAACCCTCTAGAAAGTATGCTGCTTCTTCATAAGCACAGCAACACAAGGAAATAAGCATGGGCAGTGGGTATAAGGGGCAAGGGAAGGCGCTGCCTCACTTGGGTCTTAGTGCCCAATCTTTCATCTCTTATCCCTATTCTGGCCCTTCCTGCAAGCTCCCACAGCAAGCTGTTGGAGCCTGGTGAGTACTTAAAAGTGAAAAGCCTTTCAGCTTGCCTGATCTAGTAGCATAATATTGAACCTGTGAAAGACCCAGTAAGTGGTAATGAATCCATTTAACATGCACGTGGCAACCCATAGATCTGTACTATCAGTTTCTGGATTTACTGATAAAAACAGTTGTGCATTAATTTATGTCTACAGGACCTTAGTTTAAAATTTGCTTTAAACATTTCATTACTTTGCTGCTGAAGGTTATAAAATCACATCTCTAAAAATCCTTTCATAGGTTTTTAGCTGCACAATTTGAGTATTCATCTTTAGCCTTAAATGCTTGGATTTTTAGACACAAAATTGAAAAAAAAAGACCTTAAAGACTTAAAGACCTTCCTTATCTAAAATACACGTTTTAATTTTAATTACTATATTACAAAAAAGAAACTTGCTTCCAAAGTCTTCCTGCCTTTTCTGTCCATCCCTGTAATCTTTCTCCCTTCACTCCCCTGTTGAAGAGAGCCCTAAAAGGGACAACAGCCCTTTTCTTCCAGATAGCTGGGCAAATGAGCTTCCCGTTTCTTTACTTCCATTTGATTAACTAGTTTTAAGAGAACCCTCCACCAAAATCAGTATCTTAGTAAGAGATAAAATCCTTTGTTATGCCTATAGTCTTTGGAAACATAGTTTAACAAATATATGGTGAAATTTCATAAACTTGTCTATTGCTATGGAGCAAAAGACAGGACTATGCAGCACTTTAAAGACTAACAATATACCAAAGGGATACAATCAAAAAAAGTGAACACACACAAAATTGACAAATCAGGTTTTAGAACAGAGGGAGGGTAAGGAGGGGAGGTTAGTGTCTATGAGATAATGATAATATCTGTTCTAAACTCTGATTTGTCAATTTTATATGTGTTCACTTTTTTTGATTGTATCCCTTTGGTATATATGGTCATGCCAATTTTCTTCCACAACTTGATTTGAGGAAGTAGGTCTGGCCAACGAAAGCTCATCACCTAATAAACCATCTTGTTAGTCTTTAAAGTGCTGCATAGTCCCGTCTTTTGTTTCAGCAGG